TGCTTGAAGACAATTCAGAGGCTCCTGCCTTGCCAATCCACGTGTGCCCGCCTCAGTTCTGCCTTACCTCTCTGCCACCAGAACAAAACGGGAGTCAAGTCACCAAATAACTGGTCCAGAGATGTGCTGAGAGACTGCCGAGAGAGGAAAGGGAGCTGCAGCCGCTGGTCAAGTCCACTGGGCAGAAGGCAGGACATAAGGGGCTGGCTCCTGGAAGGAGCTGGGGTAGGAGAAAGACAGCAGACAGACACCAACAGTGCGAGTTCCTCAACAGAGAAACACCCTCTAGGATACAAGAGGCCTGGTGGGCTAGTGGGCAACACACAGAGCTGCTAACCACAAGCTCGGGTTCAAATCCACTGTTAGGTAGCAGGATTGGGACAAGGGGGTGTCCTTCTCTGTGCCCAGAGGACCCTACAGGAGGTTGCTGTGGAGAACCAGGCGGGCCTCATCCAGCCAGAGAGACTACTGTGGGCATGCACCAATGCAAGCCCGCGCCAGGTGGGCGGTACACTTGGGTGGCCCAAAGTAGGCCCAGGTGGGCTTAATTCATTCAGGCAAGGGAGTCAGCCAATACCTTCGACCTCGCCTCCCCGCTGAAGGCCCCCACTACCGGTTTCGCCTTCTACTCGGCTGTGCCCAGGTCTCGGGCGACCGCGTGGGGGTGCGCCGTCCCACGAGGGTGCCCGCATTCAGTGACTAACTCCTGATGCACCTTCTGGATGAAAACCCACCTGGATCACAAGCCAGGCTTCGGCGTGATTCCTTCTTGTGCGAAGCCGAGAACCGAGGTCTTTCCCACCGGTGAGCGCTAATACCACCAGCTATCCAGGGGGTGGTGGGGGTGGGGGGGGAGCATGAGGGCTGGCTGTTCCCATAAAGAGGTAAAGTCTCAACCCCCCAAGGGGCAGTTCTGCTCTGTCCTCTAGGGTCACTGTGAGTGAGAACTAACTTGACGGCAGTGACCTTGGCGTTTTGGGTTTCCCGGGATACAGAGGAGGGAGACCCTGGAGGAGGCTATGAAGACACTGCTTGGTTGGCGGTGGGAAGCTTCCAGAAGGCGGTTACCAACATCCCTCTCACAACCTACACCCCCCCCAAAACAAAACAAAACAAAACAAAACAAAACAAAAACATTGCCCGCGAGTCCACTTTGGCTCCTGGCAACCCTGCCGGAGAGAGTCGCACCCTCTGGGGAGTTTGCAGAAGCAGACTGCCGGCTTCCTCCAGCGGAGCCGCAGGTGGGTTCGAACCACTGAGCTTTGGGTTCGCCGCTGAGCGCTTAGCCAGTGTGCCACCAGGGCTCCTGGTACCCGCTCAGCGAAGCAGAAATTCCGGAGCGCGTCGACTTCGGCGGCGGAACGAAAAGGCTGCCGTGTGGTTTCCTGGTGCGGCTCATAGGTTGGTTCTGACTCGCGGCGATCCCGTGTGACGGAGCCGGACGGCTGCGGGGACTTTGCCTGACGATGATCTTCATGTAAGCAGACCTTCAGGCCTGTTGTCTGCAGTTCCGCTGCCGGGTAGGTTGGAACCAAGTGCAAACGATTTAGCCACCCAGGCCACCACCGATAAAGGAAGAGTTGGTTTCTATCTCACATAAATGACTCTTTGGAAAAACAGCTCCACTGCTTCATGATGTCCCCAAGGACCTGAGCTATCGCTGGTCCTCAACGCTACAATCCTGTGTCCTCGGGGTCCGGTCTTGGGGTGGGAACTCCACTCATGACATTGATGATGAGATTCTAGGCAACAAGAGAGTGGGACAACAGGCACCCCAGCAAAATCAAACGCACTGCCATGGGAGTGGATTCCGATGCAGTGACCCTACGCAAGCGGGTCCAACTGGCCCTGTGGGTTTCTGAGGCGGTCAATGGACTCGGGAGCACAAAGCCTCATCTTTGTCCCTTGGAGCAGCTGGTGGGTTAGCACTGGTGGCCTGGCCCTTAGCAGCCCAGCTCCTAACCCGCTACCCCACCAGGGAGCCTTAAGATGCTGGGAAGGGATCCCCAAAAATAACCAGGGGAGAGGGAAAGGAACGCACATCTGGGGTTTAAGGTCGTGTCCCAAATATTGCCGGCTGGCTTTTCCGAACACATCCTAGATCTTATCCTTTTGTCCGCAACTTGGTGCAAGTGAAGTTGACAAATCTATTGTTTTTTTCTGGGCATCCCCATCCTGGGATTACTCAGAAGCAGGGGAACATGAGGGGAGTGCCCACAGTCGCTGTCCAGATTTACAAATCAACAGCTCGCAGGGCCTTAGCCAGTTTAGGGAACGCGAGGGCACTTAGGATTGTATTGGAGAAGATTTTGTCCTGTTCCCTCCTGGGGGCCTCACATTATGGACCCAGAGCAGCAAATGCTTGGGCGTTCTCTGAGAGGTGGTGGAAGGAGCCTATGTGCAGTGAAAGGTGAGCACAAGATAGAGAGCCTCCACTCGGCTCGTGACATCCTACAAGCAGCTCCCAGGTACTCATTCTCCCAGGTTATTTTAAGCGTGAAGAGAACAAATAAATATTGCAATTGGAATGCCTTGAAATTCTTTGGACAAGAATTAAAAACACGCTCTCTCTCGTTTCTCTTCCTCAGAGTAATAGCAAGCAAGCACTAAAAGCAGTTATGGGTGGAATTATGCCCCCTGTCTCTCACCCCCACAAAAAGATATGTTCAAGTCCTAACTCGGGTACCTGCCAAGGTGACCTGGTTTGAAAGTAGTATCTTTGAAGACGTTACCAGAGTATGGATCTTAATCCGGAATGACGGGTGTCCTCACATCAGAAACAGAGACCCTGAGGGAGGGCAGCCAGATGAAGAGAGTGGACAACAGAGGATTGAATGATGCAGCTGCAAGTCAAGAAAGGACAAGGATCTCCAGGGATCATCCAAAGCTAGGAGGAGGCAAGGCGGCCTTCGCCTCCTACAGCCCGCAGAGACAGCGCATGGCCCGTGGACACCCTCGCTTTAGACCTGTGGTCTCCAAAGCTGTGAGCCTACATTTCTGTTGTCTTACGCTTCCCAGTTGGTGGCATGGTATTACAGCAGCCTTAGGAAATGACTACAAATAGACAAGATGTAGCATTTTACTGAAAAATTGGGCCTTCGGGAGACATTACGTGGTTAAGTGTCGAGTTGGTGCCAACTCGTAGTGACCATGTGAACAACAGAACGAAACACCGCCCAGTCCTCTGCCACCCTCACAATGGGCATCTTTGAGCCTTGTGTTGCAGGGCCCTCTCTTTCTTATTGCCCCTCTACTTTGCCAAGCAGGAACTGGTCTCTCCTGGTGGCGTATCCAAAATACCGTATATACTTGTATAAGTCGAGTTTTCCAGCAGATTTTCATGCAGTTTTTGTGGTAAAAGTAGGTGCCTCAGCTGATATTGGTCGGCTTATACTGAGTATATACGGGTATGTGAGGCAAAGTCTTCTATCCTTACTTCTAAGGAGCATTCCGGCTGCACTTCTTCCAAGGCAATTTGTTGGTTCCTTTGGCTGTCCATGGGACTTTCAACATTTTTCTCATCTAACTTTTGTTTGGAAGATAAAGCAGCAAATAAGAGTTTGAGAGCACTAAATAGAGTGGAACTAATACAGAACTCAAATTTGGTGGTGTGTGTGTGTGTGTGTAGGGACCTTCCCATTTTCATGTCAATGCCAACCCCTCTGAGCACAGCCTACACCTTGTCCTCTGGCATGCTGTGATGCAGTTGCCCGGCTTGGAGGCTGCGTAATTGATCGGCTAATCTAGAAATGTGTGTGAACTAGCAAGATAAGCAGATGGCACGGGCAGGCCCAAGAAGAGTTGAAGATGATTCTATTCTGGCAGAGTTGCTTTTAAAGCATGGTCCAGAAAATGTGACTTAGATGAATCTCCTCAATAGCTACCAAGAAAGTTTAGATAATCAAGTGCAACCTTTCATAGTTCTAGGTGTCTGCTCTCAAGACAAATGTAGGATCCTGGACATCCCAGGTCCTAGCAGAGCTGTGGGGTATGATTTGCATAAACAATTCTATAACATCATTAATCATGGAGTGTAGGCTCCCTCACTTTATCTCTCTGGGGCACACCTGTTCCTGCTGAAAATGAGTAAGCAGATAGCAGCAACTGCAGCTGCACGGGGGCTTTACCGAGCCAAGGAACATGATTGAACCCATCTCAAAAGCTGAAGTTTTCTGGCAAATCTTCAAGGGTGCTTCTAATATATATAGTTCTCATCAGAATCAATTACCATTAGAACACACTTTGAAAAATGTCATTCAGAAGCTCTGGATTATTTTTTTTCCCTTTGAGACAGTTTTAGAATTATTAGCAACAACTATAATTTTAGCCTTTTAAACAAGTGCGTTTTCAAGGACAAAATAGGTGCTCCTTTAGAAAGCCTTATTAGATCAACTACTGTAATAGACAACAAATTCCATCCAAGTTAGAACGCGTTTTCCCCTTGGGTATACAATAATGGCTCATATTTCCTCTTGCTATTTTCTGTGTGGAGTATTGGACCTTAAATTTTGGGGGTCACGAAACTTTTGAGAGGATGACAGAGACGGTGCCTCTTTGGGAACTACCCTGAGAACACAGCTTCAGCAGAGTGTTGTAGGGGTGATTGGCTTGGCAAGGCTATTCAAGGACCCTCGAGCTTCAAAACTCAAATCTAGAGCCGAAAATGAGTCTGAAGAAATGGGAATAAAATCCATTCAAGGTTTAAAGAAGAAAAGTTAGTGTATCTTTTTTACATCACTTTGAAAGTAAGTCACGTGGAGATAATTTCTTTTACTCTTTTAGGAATCATTCCCACTGATGCATTTAAAAACACTGACATGAAATTCAGCAGTCTGCATCTCAAATATTATTCTAAATCGAACAATTCAAGGCACACTCCAGGGTTATTTATTTATTTTTTAATAATGGAAAGTTTATCTTCTGCTATATTCTGTCAGACCTTTTGATCATTATAGTTCACAGAGGAAAATACCACAGGAATTTAGATCACGCAGAAGGACAACTGTGCCAGTTCATTTATTTATTTAATCATTTAGAGACACAAATCACAGACCACACAATTCACCCATTTAAAGTATCTCTCAATGGCTTTCAGAGGTTTGTGACAATCACAAGGATTTTAGAACATTTTCATCACCCTCCAGAGAACCCTATATCCATTAGTGATTATACCCAACTTCTGTATCAGTGGAATCATAACACGTTGCCTTTTGTGATCACCTTTTTAATCACTTAGCATAATGTTTTCATGGCTCATCCAGGCTGTAGCGTGTGTCTGTACTTCATTCTTTTTTTTATTAAATGGTACTCTGCTGTATGAATATGCCAGACTTTATTACCTATCAGCTGATGGGCATGTAGGCTGTTTCCATTTTGGCGTTATCATGAGTAATTCTGCTATGAACATTGGTGTACTAGCTTCTTGGTTGCCTAGCCCTTAATTTCTAAGCACATGAAGTGAAATGTAAAAATTAGTCTTCTTGCTCTAAAAAAATTATAAATGATATATTGGGCTCCTGTTCCAGAGGTCTCCAGAATGAGCCCGTTCAATGTTACAGGGCTGTTTGTGATCAGGAAAATGGCATCACCATTCCATCATTGGTCGTTTAGAAGTCATCGAGGATCTCTTCTGATATGAAATCAGAAACTTAATGTTTTCTGTTCCATTTCCATAACCAGAAAAATAAGGATCAGGCTGTGAAGCGTCCCTGGTCTTGAGGAAGTTACCCACAAACATCCATCCCCGGGACCCTCACGTGCACATAGCAAGCGCGGCTGGGGCTGGGCCTTGGGCAAAAGCGATGCATGCAGTGTGACTTGCCAAGCTACTTTGAGTTCCAATCCTGGCCTGACAGGACTTGATTCCCTCGCCAAGTCCCAACTCTGTGTGGATCACACTTTCAATACTGTCCTGCCTTTGACGGCTCCCCACATCCCCCGGCTACAACCTCTGCCTCTCCTTGGTCAGCTTCCCATGCCCACCCACGCCCAGAGACCCTCACCGATGCCTTTGCCAACCATCTTCACTCTACCCCTAGACGAGGACTAAACGTCATCACAGGCTTCCATGCTGGCTGCAGGTGGGCGCAGTGCTGTTAGGTAGTGCAAGAGCTGAAGAGGTGCTCGATGAATACTTGTGCAATAAGTGACCCCTGAGATTTCCCATCAGTGCTGTGTGTGCGCGCGCGCGCGTGCGCGTGCGCAGTTAGCAAGGGTCAAAAAGAATTTATGACTCAGCTGCTCTTATCAGTTATTGATGGCATATTTCTCCAGTGACCAAAGTACTTGGGAATTCAGCTTATTCATAAGACTCTCTCCTTTGAGATAATGTATATCATAGGAAGCACAGACCCACTAGAATGAGACAGAAGATCTGAAAAGAGGTTTAGCTGGCCCAACAGCGTTCCCTCCCCTTTTGATTTCCAAGCTATCTTAGTTTGTCCCTTTGGGTTGAACATTGCTGATGTTCAGTATGCATGACCTGAGGCCAGCATGGGAGGCACCACCCAGAAGGCTGGATCACAACCTACTGGTAGGGGGCCCTGCCAAGCTCTGCCATTCTTTCAGAGGAGGATTGCCCAAGGAGGCCAGTTTTGCCAGATAGTCACTGGGCTTCAGCTGGGGAATATCAGGGTTCTGCCTGCAGTATTTCTGCAACTTCTCCATCACGGTGGGCAAACCAACCGTGGAAGCGTAGAACATGGGGCCGCCCTTGTGCCTTGGCCACGCATAGCCGTGCAAATAGATAGTATCAATGTGCTCTGGGCTGGCAGCCATCCCTTCCCCCAAGATCCGGAAGGCTTCATTGATGAGCGAGTATAAGCAGCGCTCCAGCACCTCATCCTGACTGATGACACGTGATGGGATGTGATGGGTTTCTCTGTACTCTGAGAGGAACGTGGAAATCCAGGGGTCAGGTTTGCAAATCCTACCCATTGGCTTGTCATATAGATACCAGCCCTTACCTGACTTTTGGCCAACTCGCCCTCGTTCACAAAGCATATCGGGAATTGGGCAATATCTTATGTTGCCTCGTTTTCGGGCGGGAGTTCCGGGAGGCAACGTAGGTCCAGTAAGACCTAGTCCCTTCCGAGACCTCCAACCTACATCGAGCCCAGAGAGATCGGATGTTCTAAAGGGGCCCATCTTAAAGCCAAACTCTTCCAGCACCCTATCTATCTCCTCTGGCTTCCCGCCTTCTTCTAACAAGAAATAAGCCTGATTGTAATAAGGAGCCAACATTCGGTTCCCAACAAATGCAAAACAGTTCCCGACAACGACGCCTACTTTGTTCATCTTTTTGGATAAGCTCATGACAGTGGCAATGGTGGTCGGAGAGGAGTACTTGCTGGGCACCACCTCCAACAACCTCATGATATGAGCTGGTGCAAAGAAGTGGGTGCCAATGACCAGGCCAGGCCGGTCAGTGGAAGCAGCAATCTCATCAATATCTAGGGCTGACGTATTGGAACACAAAAAGGTTTCTGGCTTGCATAGGGCTGACAGTTGAGAAAAGACCTGCTTCTTCAGTTTCATTTCCTCAAATACGGCTTCAATGACTAAATCTACATCACTAAGCTCCTTCATAGACATAGTCAGCCTGGGTTTAGGTCCTGGCCAGGGGTGACCATCCTGCCGCATTTTAGATGCCTCCTTTTCCAAGAAGGAAGTTATGACCTTGTTTGCCGTTTCCAGCTGCTGCTTGTCTGGTTCCACAGCAATCACAGGGATCTTGGCCCTAGCAAGAGAAATGACGATGCCTCGGCCCATCGTCCCCAAGCCTGCAGACAGGAGTGGAGAAGGGAAACAAGAATTCAGTGGTATGTCAAAAAGAAAACATTCTCATTGGATGAGAGGCATCACTGGGCAATGTGGCATTTAAAGAGACTGAATCAAGCAATATACGAGATTATTAGATAGTGCTAGATATGGCTAGGCACCGTGTTAAATGCTTCAGAAAAACACATATATACACCCCAAAATACCCAACTACTAGAGCTAAAACATCTCATAGTAGCCCTATCGGCAGAAGTGCCTTTGTGGGTTTCCAAAACTATTAACTCTTTACAGGAGCAGCAAGCCAAGACTTGTCTCCCTCAGAGGGGGGTGGACTTAAACTGCTGACCTTCTGCTTTGCAGCCCACCATGGAACCACTCCTCCCCCTGGGTTGCTCTGGGCCTCCAGAGACTAGGTGGCAGTGCGTTTTTGTTTGTTTGTTTGTTTTTGAGGGTGAAAAGGTAAGTTCAGCAAGGTTGCAGGATACGTGCTCACCACTTTAACACTCGTGTGCGTGTCTACACACTAGCCATGGGCATAGGAGAAAGATGAGGCTTTCTGCTCCTGTGGTGGTTTACAGCCTCGGAAGCCCATCAGGGCAGCCCTAAGCTGTCCTCTGGGGCTGCGATGAGTCAGTTGACTCGCAGTGACTTTGATTTGGGGGTGGGAGCAATGACCAATCTGAACATGAAATCAAGAAAACACTTCCATTGCACTGCTTGATGTGATTGGATTACGGAATGATGTGATACCTCTATGAGCTCCCAATAAAATGGTTTAGTGGGGGGTGGGGGTGGGTAAGAAAACCAATATAAAATCTAACCCAGAAAAACAGAGAAAGAAATACTTCCATTTACAACAGCATTAAAAATAATAACATACTTTGGAAGAAATCTACGCTTTATACACTGAAAAGTACAAAACAACACGAAGGAAATTAGAGAAGGCCTAAATAAAAAGAAGGGCTGTCAAAAATTAATATTGTTAAGATGGCAAAAATAGGCAAAATGATATACAGATGCCATGCAACCCCTATCGAAACCCTCGCGGGGTTCTATCGTAGAAGTCGAAAAGCAGAGTCCAGAATCACCAAACAATCTAAGGAGAACAGAGCTGTAGCACTCACACCTCCTGGTTTCAAAACGAGGACAAAGATGTAGTGGTCAAGACGGTGTGGCAGTGGCCGAAGGACAGACACATGAGGGCTAGAACTGGGAGTCCAGAAACAAACCTATCCATCTGTGGTTCAAGTGCCAAGCCCACTCCAGAGGGAAAGAATAGCGTTTTCAAGAATCAATGATGAGACACCAAAGACAGAAGGGGCAAAAAGGAAAGCAGATATATTGAACATTATCACAATAAAAATAGATATATCGAACGTCATCGCAATAAAAAATACCATGCTTCAAAGGGCATTATCAAGAAAGTGAAATGGACGCAGAAACGGCATTTGATAAAATCCAGCACCTTTCTTGATGACCCCTGAAGAAGATCGGAATAGATGGAAAATTCCTTAATCTGATTCAGGGCAAATATGAAAAGTCAATCAAACCAACACCAAGCTCACTGCCATCGCGTCGACTGCAACTCATAGCAGCCTTATAAGACAGAAGAGATCCTGCCTCTGTGGGACCAGCGGCTGTACATTTTTAAGCAAGCAGAAAGCCTCTTTTTATTTCCTCCCGAGGAGCATCTGGTGGATTTGAAATGCTGACTTTATGATTGGCTGCCCAACCCATAACCCACTAAACCGCGAGGGCCCCTGAAACAGCAACAGCCAACATTATATTTCATTAAGAAAGACCAGGAACTTCCCCTTGAAATCAGAAACAAGACAAGGGGGCCTGCTCTCACCACTTTTATTCAATAGTGTATTTGAAGTCCTGCCCAGAGCCTCCCCCCCAAAAAAAAAAAGTTAAAAAGAAAAGTCATCCATATTAAGGTAGCAGAAGGACATTGGGCCTTCATGCAAGTACTCCCTCAAAGTAAGAATACTTTCTTCTATTAAATTGGCATTCTATAATGCTCATCTTCCCGACACAACTGCTGAAGACAAAGCGGGTGAATAAGCAAATGTGGTGAAGAAAGCTGATGGTGCCCGGCTATCAAAAGATATAGC